AAAAAGAAAAAAAAAAAAGAGGCTGAAATACTAAAGCAGCTGCAGGTGCTGATGTGGGAAGTGTGATCTGGAAAAGGAGAAGCTGCCCCCTCAAGTATCAAGAGTTGAGGTAGCAGCTGAGATGTGACGAGAGTGGGAAGAGTTGTAGGGCCCAGGAGCACTCTGGGTGCCCCCTCTAGCCCCTAGTTTAGTGCTGGGCAAGACCACGGTTCAGGGGTAACTAGAAAGGGTTTTTGCTATGGGTGGAAGTCATCCTATCCTTCCTTGGTCATGTGCAGAGCAGCACAACCAGAGACCTTCACTGCTGGTGAGAGGTAGGGTCCCGGGCTGGCATCATCATCTGGTGCCTCTTGCCCAGGTTTGGCTCTGGGAGCAAGGTCCTGGAGAGTGTGGATTGGGGAAAGGGCAGATGAACTGCTGAGAGTGATTGGGAAATCAAATACAGCCTGGCCATTCCGTTGGACAGGGCTGGCCTGACGGACTGACCATGGGAGTGGGTTCTTTGCATGGCTCTTGAGCCCCTGCCCATTTTGTGCTCAGGGCTGGATTAGAGGAAGCCAGGTGAGACATTCAGAAGGCAGGGCAGCCCGGTCCCCTCTGCACCCGGCTTGGTATGAGCTTCTAAACTTGTGTCTCAAGGGCCTGCTTCTCTAAGAAGGGCTGGCTTGGGGCAGCACAAAGACCAGAACACCTGACCAGGAAGGAATACAAATTTTATTTCTCCCTTCTGACATGACAGATTTTTCGGGAGCAGATCTGAAATAACAGTATTATACCAGCAAGAGATGAAATTAAAATGGGACATAAAAATGATAGCCCTATTCTCTAAAGGATGGCTTTGTAGGATGGATGGAGAGTCTGGAACTAAAAGGGGTCATGTGGGGCACACACTGGGGACCTTACAGCTCAGTTTCAGACTGGGAGGGAGAATAGGAACACTGTGTTATGTACTGCTGTGGCTGGAGAAAGCTGGGCTGGTTGTTGCACAGGTGACCCATACTCAGGCAGGACTGGTGGCATCTTCGGAGGTTGAGAGGAGCAGTTAAAGCAGTGTCTGTGCAAAGAGGGTTGATGGTGCTCCTCGGGCTCTTGGCTGGTGCTGTCAACTACCCCTTGCAAAGCTGGGCCTCAGCTTCATGACGATGATGAGCTGGTGCTGGGCAGTCTCTGGCCTCCCTCCCCATGCTGCCAGCCCATCTGGAACACAACCTCCAAGGCTTAAACCTACCATGATGGGGAGGCTTTCCAACTGCTCCACAACAGGGGCCTCAGCAGGGGTGGCAGTGGGAGGCCTCCAAAACAGCAAGGCAAGGGAGGGAGACACCCAAGAAGAACTCCCGCCTCCTACTGGCTGCCTGCCGGTTCTGATGTGTGATTCTTTACCTGGAGGAAGAATAGAAACAGGACTCTGGCAGAAAAGGCCGGGAAGCATTGTGTGGCTGGGGGGTGGGGGGGACTAGGAAAGGGAGGAACATCTGCTAATACCTAATCTCCAAGTTCTGATGTGTGATTCTTTACCTGGAGGAAGAATAGAAACAGGACTCTGGCAGGAAGGGCCGGGAAGCATGGTGTGGCTGGGGGGTGGGGGGGACTAGGAAAGGGAGGAACATCTGCTAATACCTAATCTCCACCCCATCCAACCCCACCCCCCGTCTCAGGCACTTTGGCAGCTTAGGGCCACTCTAGATTCTTCCTGAGACCTGGGAACCCAGAACCATCAGGCAAAGGAAAGCATTCTGTCCTTCTAGCCCATTCTTTTTCTAGTAGTTGGGACTTAGGCCCTGGGTAGCTGTGAGAGCTCTCCTGAGCCCAGCAGGCCAAGGGCAGAGCTGGGCCAGTGGAGGAAGGGAAGCTCACCACTGCTAAACTCCCAGGGGCACTGCTGGAGGGCGCAAGCAGCAGTGTGGGCTTGGCCTGCCTCAGGGACCACCAGTGGTGGAGGAAGATGTGGTAGGGAAGGGACTATCCAGGCCCTCTCAAGCTGCACAAAGGACAACCATCAGTTTCAGGGTCGGATATTCTCCATCCAGGAAGGTCAGTGTCCCATGACTTCCCTGGGGACCATGGTACACTGCAGACAGCCCCAAGACCCTGGGGCAGCAGGTGGGGGCGGGGTCATGAAGAGGGCAGAAATCGGTTTTATCAAGCTTATCAGGTAGGCTCCCAGGCAAGGGGTCCAGGGCCATGGGGCACACCTGTGACATTCCCTCTACAATGCTCAAACCACCCCCATTGCCCCTGCTTTTCAGGAAGAGATGGTATTTCAGTCCAGATCTGACTCAACTGCCTAGCAGTAGTCCCTGGCACAGCTGAGCAACCAAGTCTAGAGTTGAGGGGGATAAAAAGCGGGCAGGGCTCATCCTTCTGGGCATTGCTCTGTGACAGAAGTCATACACCTCCACTGCACCACTGGGTTCCTGCACACACTCAAGTCCCTCCCTTGCTCCCAGGGAGGCCACAAGGACCCAACACGTAGGGTGGAGATGGCAGGAGAGGCCAGACCACTCACTGCATGCTCTGCGTCCGTGCTCCCCTGGGAGCTGTCTGCCTCCACGTGGGCGCACTGGCCCCTGGGCTCTGTGCTCTCTTGGTTCCTGTGCTCCTGCTGGGCCTCAGTGAGTCTGCATGAGCAGCCCTCACTACCAGGGCCCCTGTTCTCTTCACTGTCCTTTGTCCCTGTGCAGAGAGAGTAGCCAGTCAATGGCTGGGTTTGGAGGCTCCAGCTGTCCCCAGAAAAGCCACTTGAAGCCCAGCACTGATTTAGGGCATCTAGGGCTGAAGAGGGCAAGAAGGTGATGGGCGGGGACACTGCTCTGGCTCCAGATGGCTGCTGAGCGAGTGGAGGTAATGGGACCTCCTACGAGCCACAGGGTCCTCGAGCCACAAGAATAGCCAGAATGAGTGGGAGCCCAGCAGAGAGGGAAAAACCGGGCAGGACCCTGGGCACCCTGGCATGGGAAAAGCTGGGGCCTGCTAAGAGTGTGGCCTACCCACACTTGGGGAGCCTGACCTGCAGGCTGGTCCCTCTGCTGGTCCATGCGCTCCAAACTCGCCAATAGGCTGTCCACTTGGGCTTTGATCTGGCTCAGTTCTCCCCTGATGGAGTGCAGCACCCCAGTCCCAACTGTTGAGAGAAGGGGCAGGGTTGGTGCCCATGCTGGGCTCAGGGGCCATGGGCAGTGCTGCCAGTGCTCCCGGGCCTGCCCTCACTGCCAGGAAGGCCGCCCAGCTCCTCCCTAGCACTGCAGGGGAGTGCCCCCCTACTCACGCTTTATCTCCCCAGGGGACAGGTGGCTATTCCTGGAGGCCTTGTGGGGGCTGAAGCTGCTCCTGACCCCTAAGCCCATATGGGTCCTCCGGATCTTGACAGGCACGTGGTTGATGAGCGGGGGGATCTTCTGGCATTCATAAGCCCTATAGAGACAGGACAGAAAGGGAGTGTGGCCAACCAGCCCCACCTGCTCACCCAGAGGACCCGGGGGCAGGACCTACCCACCTATAGGGGACATCTTCTCTGTACAACTCATAGTTCAGCTTGTAGTTACTGCTGCTGCTGCGGAGACAAATGGAAAGTGATTACTACTATCCAGGGCCAGACTCTGCCTGGTCCCCAATTGAACTTGGTGAAACAAGTATGCAGCTCGTCCTTAGAATGCCAGGATTCTCCACGGGAAGAAGCCCCTAGGAACTTGCCCAAGGTCACTTTGAGAGACTACAGCAAACCCAGCCTCTGATAAGGGGTGCCTCCCAGGTGGCTGCAGGTGGTAGGAGGGGGACAATAGCCTGCAGGCTTCTGGCCAGCCTGAGCCAGGCCCTCCAAAGGCTCCTCTGCCTGAGCCAGGCACTGCTGACATTCTGGATCTTAGTCTGGCAAAAGATGAAAGGGAAGAGTTAAGCCTGAGCCCCAAGTCATGGTGGGGATGGGAGAGCTCTTAATCCTTGCGTGGGAATCGCCAGGATGCAGGGCCCAGCACAGGCAGGGCCAGCGGACAGGGTTAGGGTCAGGGCTGTGGCCAGGCCACCTTCCCTTTTGCTCCAGGGGAGAGAGAATGAGCCCGAAGGGCCCGAGGCTCACACTGGCGGCCTCACCCCTCCTCACAAGCACCAAGAACCCCAGGGCCCCGTGCCCGGGAAGGGTGGGGGAGACGCACACAGAGGGACAACTGGGTCCTGGCCTGGGAGGAAGGGCCTGTGGGGACACCGCTGCAGGAGCTCAGGCCCGGCCGGCACCTGGGGCTGGAAAGGGTGATGAGTCTGGGTTAGGGGAGGGGCCACATCCAGGGGAAGTAAAGTTCTGAAACAACTTTCTGGTACTGTCGCCCAGGCCCATGCTCCCCGCGCAGGGCCAACAAGAGGGGAGGCCAGTTTGGGTCCCTAGGGCGGAATGGAGGACATCCGAGTGCCGGCCCCTTCCTCTTCACCCCGTAGAGTCCCCAGAACCGCAGCGAGGTTTCCGGCCACCCCCGCTTTCTGGCTTCAGGAGGACCGGGTGGGCGGCCCGGGAAGCGCAGGGCTGCTGCAGATCCGGCTGGAGGAGGAGGAGGACGGGAAGCAGCTGCGGAGCCCGGCAGGGCCGTACTCCTGCCCAGGGCGCTGCGGGGTCAGGCCGGAGGAGGGCTGCGGGGCGGCCAGGTGACGAGTGTCGGCGCCCGGCCGCTCCACCGCCCCTCCCCGCCACCTGGCAGAGGCCCGAGCCCGCCGGGGCTTGCACCGCCCTCCTGTGCCGCCGAGGCGCGACCTCTGTCGCCTCGGCATTGGTGGTTCAGTGGTAGAATTCTCGCCTGCCACGCGGGAGGCCCGGGTTCGATTCCCGGCCAATGCAACAAGGTTGTTTTTTTATCTTTACCTCATTCCTGTTTTTCAAAAGGACCGTCTCAGTGTATGTTTATGAGTGGCCACAGATGAGCTCTGTAAAGGACCGGGATTTTACCGACCGCTGTCCAAATCGAGACAGGCAGGGTGGGCTCGGGGTTAGGGAGGGCGCATGCGCTGCAGCGCCTGTTGCAGGCGGCTGGTCCCTCCTGGCGCGGGGGTGGGGGTTCCTGCCCGGCCTTCCCCTGCTCCCTCTGAGGCCTGTGCCCTGGCCAGGTGGCCTTGCCCTTTTCTCCCCAAGGGGAGCCGTCTGGTTGCACCCAGGCAGCGTCCGCAGTTGCCCCTGGTCTGGGCTGATGGTTACAGTTTGCAAGCCCAGGACTCCCCGCAGAGAAACAAAATGCACCGCACCGTTGAAATGGCTCTGTGGCAGAGGTCAAGCCACCTCCTCAGGTGTCTTCAGGGTCAGACGGTGGGGCAGAAAATGGCACCTAGGGGGGCCAGTCCTTCCACCACAACCTTTCCTTCCCCGTTCACAACTTCCATTTTGAGGCCCAAATCACGTGGCCTTGACTTGGCCAGTTCTCATGGAGAGGTCGTCAGCTGCACCTCTGTGCCCGCCGCAGCCCCATCCCCAACCTGTCTGTCTCCTGGAGACTATTCCAAGGGGACCACAGCCTCCCACCTGCTGCTGTCCCACACCCACACTGCCAGAGCCCCTGGGGAGGAGGCCACCTCTGCCCACTTCTGTCCCAGGTCTGGAGTGCCAGGGGCCCCTCTGAATGGAGTCTGAGTCCCTGCAGGGCAGGCACCATCACTCCCCACCGCTTCCGGGTACCCCCAAGTGCGTCCCACCCCAGAGCGACCCAGGGAGGGGCAGGATCCAAGCCGGGCAAGGGAGTGGCCCGGAAAACATGAAATCTGATGAAGATGACTTTCACCCAGCCTCAAAAATGGCCTGTTAAAAAAGCGCATGCAGTAACTGTAAGAGAACCACTTTCTTTCCATCAGACAGAAAGTTCCAAAACCCGGTCAGCAGAGCCCCCAGGTAAGCTACTCTCACGTGCTCAGGGTGCGTGGACTTCCACAGCACCCAGGAAAACCAGGGTAAGAGACCCGCGTCACCCCCATGCATGTGTCCTCAGCAGCCCAAAGCGAAAGCAGCGACGGAGCCGCCCACACTGGCTCACTGCAGGTGACACACTCAGGCTGCTCCTGACAAGGAGAGATGTGGCCTGATCTCTCTCCAGGACAACCTGGAGGTCCAGCAATGTCACAGAGCAGCCCATATCCCAGCCCTGCCATTCCGCTTCCAGGGAGATGAGCCAGGGAGAAAACCAAAAGCAACTGGAACCCTCGGTACCGGGGGTTTACAGCAGTGCTGTGCCTAACAGCAGCCACCCCCACTGCCTCCCCAAACGTCCCCAACAAGGCCAGGCTGACTCCAGCCATTACAGATGCCCAGCTGAGGGGACACACACACACATGATTATGCCTGAAAACGGCATGTTCGGTGGCAGAAGCTGCTGAACTCCTTTCTGAAAATGCTTAAAGATTTCCTTAAACCATTAAAATGGTTTTAATCTTCCCAAGCTAGAGGCAAGAAGTCATCCAGAAACACTCCCATTTGCTACTTCCCAAATGTCTACACCTGGAAGAAGTCTCCAGTTACCCCCTAGGTGAGGCTCTGCTCAGAGGACTCAGGCCCCTGACTCCAGGCAGAGGAGGACACCCACCCCTTGTCAGCAGATGGTGGCTGGGTGGCAGCTAGGAGGGGAGCTGGAAGGTGCTGGGTTCCACTCTCTCAGCTTACAGACAAAACCCGAGGCTGAGGGAGGAGGGACTGAGTGGCCTGAACCCTGGGTTGCACAGCACACTTAGGTTGCCATCTGGGGTCTTTGTCCTGTCCCAGAGGAGCCCAGAGCCCCAAACAAGCCAGCAAGCAGCCTTCCTCCCCGGCAGCCACCCCAGCCACACTCACCAGAAGATGGCTGTTCTCTGTGGCCTCTTCTGGCCTGGCCAGGCAGGGCCAGGCTTGGGCTCTCGAGCCATGTCTAAATCTAAAGAGATGTCGAGAGGGGGCAGAGGGTGAGAAGGCAAAGGAAGGGGTGCAGGAGGAAGGGCCCCGGGGCCGACAGGGTCCCGCTTGCTTCCTGGCTCTGGGGAGAAGCAGAGAACCTGCCCGTGAATGGGCAGCCTGGCCTGGCATCTGCCAGCCCTGGACCCACCTACCCAGGGCTGGCTCTGGCTCCAGAGGGTCATCCTAGAGGTCTCCTCAGACAAAGAGACAAATGGTCCCTTTGGCACACTTCAAAACAAAAATGCCCTAAGGGTGGAGAAGGGAGCTTTACCATGAACCGCCCCCATTGCCCAGGCCTGGAACTTGGGGTGGTACCGTCAAAAGGCAGGAGGGGAGAGCCTGTGATCCTGTGTCCTCTGAGGAGACACCAGCCCCAATCTGGATTAACTTGAGTGTCCTCCTGCTGCCCGCCCAGGACACAGAGCCTCTGCCCAGCCGCCACCCACTGGCTGGCCACTGCCAGGCCCATGCCCTGCACCTGCCCCTGTGATAAGCCCTGGACGGGCTGCTGCTGAAACCACCAGGCTGCTCAGACGGAGGGAAAAGCAAAGCAGCACTTTTTACAAAATAGCTTAAAGTTCACGAAATAGCTACCCTCAGACGGACAACCTCCCAGACCTAAGACCCAGAGTATTTCCCTTGAAGTCCAAAGAAAAGCATCACAGAAAGGTGAGGGGCCCGGAGCAAGAAGCAGCAGCCACACTCAGGACCCCTCAGGGCTGAACATGGAGGGACTCAGGTGTTCATAGGCAGAGGTAGCCCCAACTCTTGGCAGATTGAAGAGGACAGTAATGTTTTATGAAATCCTACAAAAGTGAACCTAATATATTTGAAATTCAAATAGGGAACCCCTCACCCATGTTTTTTAATTTTATGGTTGCCACTTAAGCATACCAGATAAATGTTAGCAGGACACATTTTTGAGAAGAAAATACAAAGAAATCCTAAATTCTGCAGACCAGCTCCTAATGGACATCTCAGGCCTAAGGAATCAGAGAGCAGGACTCCAAGAGGGCCACTGTCCGCCGTGGCTGTTTTGAGACACTGGCTCTAGGTGCTGCCAGACAGAAGTCCACACCTCCATCTAGAGTGCGGGTGGAGGCTGCCTGGTAACACGTTTGGGGCTGGCTGAGTCCACTGAACTGAGTGGACACTGGGCAGCGAAGGATCTGGGCAAAGTGGAAAGTGGGGGAGGCCGAGTACCTTGGGTCACACTTAGGATCTGGACAAAGATGGGGCGTGGAGAGCGCGTGTGGCCTCAGGCCAGCCCCAGATTCTCCTGCGACCTGGAAGGCTGCCATTAGATACAGCAGAGTCCCTCACACTGCGCAGGGGAGGGGTCTCTGCAGCAATGTTTGGAGTCGCATGTTGGGTGGGGCGGGGAACCACCTGGCTGCTAGTGGAACCAAGGGGTGTCCATGAGAAGAATCATGACCTGGGCCCTCGGGCACCAAGAGCTCTAATCCGGGCTCCTCTGCCTCAGGATCCTTGGTGGGCAATGATGGCAGGAATGGGTTAGATCCACTGCCATATTCCAGATGCAGGGCCAGCTGCATGGGGGTCACACAGGGCTCTGTGCTCAGAAGAACCCTGAGCTTAATTTGTGCTCTGCTGTTGCCGCCTTGAAGTTCTTAATAACTTCTGAATAAGGGGCCCTGCAT